GGAAAAAAAAAAACAAAATGGCGGAGGAAGTAGGAAATAATAATAATAATTTCCGAGGCAAAATAAAAAATTAACAAGCAATCAAGTAAAAAAAATATTTATCGATTTAAAAAAAAAACAATCACAAACACGCGAAAATTTTTTTTAAAAAAAATTGTCTTTTAAAATAATAATAATAATAATAATAATAAACAAAAGGGGGTCAAAGGTTAATAATGATAATGATAACAAAAGATTATATCAAATTTACTTTCACTTGATAAAAGATGAGCGCAAACAAGTTTTTTTGGAATACAAACAAATCCGGAAAAATTTTTTTAAAAAAATGTTGTACTGTATAAGGAGGAGAGGGGGGTGGGGAAAGAGAACTCATTTAATTAAACGTAAATTTTGTGTGTCGTTTGTTTGTTTGTTTGTCACATTTGAACTTTTTTTTTGTAAACGTTTCATTCGTGATTGTATAAGTCACGCGTTTGTTTATATAAAAACAAATTGCGCGTATTTAATTACGAGGTGAAAATTTTTACTCTAACTATGACTCTTCTCAAACAACAAACAAACGAACAAACAAACAGAAAAGAAAACAATTTGTGCAATGTTTGTATACGATCAATAACCGATATAAAAATTTATTTACAAAAATCGTTCCCGTTTTTAAAACGCACGCGTGTTCAAAACAATTAATTAATAATCAATCAATTAGTTTTTTTTAAAAAAAATTCGTAAAGATTTAAATTATATAATAATAATAATAATAATAATAATAAAATTCCGATAGCCTTAAGATTCGTGACGAGAGAGAGAGAGAGGTAGACAACCAATCTCTCTCTCTCGACGTGGAGAAAGTCATTTCATAATAAAATTTTAAAACGCATTTGTTATGAATAAAAAAAAAAATGCATCGGCCAAAAAAAAATTTTCATGTACTTCTTTGTATTAGTTTAGTTTAGTTTATTAGTTTTTTAAAAACTAAAATGAATTCCAACGATTACATACGACACATACGATGAGCAAATGGTGATAATAATAATAATAATAATTTGTAAAAAAAAAAAAAGATGACGAGTGCCAAAATACGCGAATCGCTATTGGAAAGTATCAATCGTTTGATTACCGGATATCCGGATTTTAGAAAAAAAAAATTTTTTTTACTAAAAAATGTCGTCGTGAATGAAAGGATTAGTTCGGAATGAAATGATTCCATCACATTCCAAATTTAATTACGATGATTTTGTTAGAATTTTAACAAACCGGAAATCACCCCCGAGATATGATTCAATTGTATTATCCCGTTTGTGCTTTTCCGAAAAGCAAAACAGTCGAGAATTAAGCGAGAAAAATTTTCTAATTGAAATTGACAGGATGTCAAAAGAAAACTGACCGGAAACGCAAACATTTTTGGTAAATTTGAATCCGTGCCACAGTCATCGAAGAGAAATTTAAAAGACTAAATAAAAGAGGAAATTGTTTTACGGCCCACATTCATCCTCAATACCCCTTGCCCCTCCCCTCCCCCCAATAAAAACTCTAAAGCGTAAAACTTGTCGCGAACTAAAGTTGAAATAATAATAATAATAATAAAATTTTCATCATTTGTAAAATATCACAGGTTTATAAATGTTTTTAATCAAATTGCAAAATACAACAAAAATGGCTTCCATTACAAAATTTAAAAAAAAAAAATTTAAATATTTTTAAGGTCGAACAAATTTTAAATGCATTAAAATAATAAAAATAATAATAATAATAATAATTGCATTATAATTAAAAAAAAAAAAAAATTTTCTTATTGGGATTGTTTGTATTCTGATTAACCTTTTCGGGTTAAAGTTCAACACACATGTTTTTAATTAATTTTTTTTTTTTTATTAAGGTACAAAATGTAAAATATTAAATAATAATAATAATAATAATGAT